TTTTTTTTTTTGTTGTTGTTGTAAGAGTAGAAAAAATTAGGGTTTGGGTTATTTGTTTCTGAGTTTGATTTTGACGATTGAGAGAAAATTGGTGCGTTTACTGATGGATCGATGGAGATCTGAGGTTTGATTTAGCTGTTTGCTTTGATTTGGTTTTGTCTCTTGAATTTTATTGAATATTTGGCATGTTGAGGTTTGTGAAGGCTTAGATCTGTTGTCTGTTATGTTGATAATGATGCTACGAACACTGAAACTTATGATAATGGTGTTTATGAGTCTCTTGATTGTGGGTTTTGCTGTTGATTGTTTTTGATGTGTTATTGCTTCTGTTTCTTGAATTACAATGAATATTTGGCAAGTTGAAGTTTGTGAAGGCTTAGATCTGTTGTCTGTTATGTTGATAATGGTGCTATAAAACACTGAAACTTAAGATAATGGTGTTTATGAGTCTCTTGATTGTGGGTTTTGCTGTTGATAGTTTTTTTATGTGTTATTGCTTCTGTCTATATGCTAGAAATGATTGTTTCGAGATCTGAAATTTATTGATCACTTGCAGGGGTACTCTCGAAGTTTGTTTTAATTTAGTTGTGATTTGGAAACTACGTGTATAACATTTCAGCTATTGCAATAGAGGAACATGTGATTCATAATATATAAAGTAATTTCGGGGATTACTTTCTTTATAAGTGGTTTATAAGTGGTTTGTATGCTCATGAAAATGCCAAATGAAATGAGAATATGTGCCCCTAGGCCATAGATCTCCACTATCCTTCAAACAAGTTAGGAGATACGAACTCTTGGAGTACCAAATGAAGTTTTCGGTTAAGAATTGATCCGGTGTTTCTATACTATTGTTAATAGGTCAAGCATTTTTTTTTCTTTGAACTTGGTGAGACCTTTCAACTTGTTTTCTTTTCGGTCTCCTTGTAGACATCAAAACCTTATGTTCATGGCATTAGTCCTTCAGGTCAATTTTGAAGCACTTTTTCACTAGAATATTAAGTTACAATTGCTATATCGCCCTAGTTAGTGATTTATTAAGCAACTCTTGGGTGTTATGAAGTGTATCAGTACGTGCTGCATACCGTATAGTGTTATATTAATGATTTATTAAATGTTAATTAACATCCTTCTTTCTTCTTCGCATTTTCCCCCTTTTGTGAGTATAAACCTTTTTCGTCCGGGGAGAACTACGTTGTTCTAAAGCGGGTGGAGCCGTAAATTCATTTCCTTGCAGGTAGTGCATTATATAACAATGAGTCGTGCTCAAGAACCACACAGGCCTTTTCTCCCATTCGGAAACCCTTTTCGCATGATATCGCCAAAGGAGCCCCGCCTCTCTCCCAAACTCCTCTCTCTACTCAACAATTTCGAAGAGACTCTGTCGAGTCGAATCAAGAAACTCAAGCCCTCGAGCAAAGAAGATGTTCTCCGCCTATCCTGGATGAGTTGTGCTGTTGAGTCCCTTTGTGAAATTCACACTGATGTGAAAACCCTAATCACCGCCCTTGAACTCCCCATTTGCGACTGGGAGGACAAATGGGTCGATGTCTACTTGGACAACAGCGTGAAATTGCTCGACATATGCATTGCTTTCACCTCCGAGATCTCTCGACTCAAGCAGGGCCATCTCTACCTCCAACTCGCTGTCCATAACCTCTGTGATGATGCTTGCTCGAAGCAGTTCCCTCGTGCCCTCTCGTCACTTGACGGGTGGAAAAAGCACGTCGGCTTGAAAAACCCGAGGCTCGACAAGTGCTTTGCCATGATGGATGGACTCGCCCAGAAGCTGGACCTGCCGAAAATAAAAAACTCTGCCAAGGGTAAAATCTTGATGCGGGCCATGTACGGGGTTAAGGCAGTCACACTTCTGATTTGCAGCATATTTGCTGCAGCCTTCTCGGGCTCGGCAAAGAAGCTGATGGACTTAAAGATCAACGAGTCGTTTTTGTGGGCTGAGACTTTTGCCGATCTCCAGTTTTTTGTGAATACCGAAATTAGGAGCTTGTATTCGAGCGGGAGAGTCACGGTGCTAAAAGAGCTGGAAGAAATCGATAATGGTGTGAAAAAACTGTACCCTATCGTTGGGGAAGATGTGGGGCCAGTCCAGACGGAGAAATTGCACGAGTTGAGGCCCAATTTTGGGAAATCGGTCGAGAATCTTTCAGTAGGACTTGATCTGCTCGGGAAGGAAGTGGACAGGTTTTTTCAGATTGTTCTTACGGGTCGTGATGCTTTGCTTTCTAACCTTAGGATGGGGTCCGATGTTTTTGATGCCGGACGAACTAACGGTAACAAAGTTGGAGGCATGATGATTAGGTGAAAAATTTGCTCCTTTGTACACAAAGTGTGCGTTTTAGGAGGACTGTTGTATTGTGTTGTGTTGTGTGTTGTGTTTTCGGTTTGGATATATAAAGGTGTGTGTGTGTGTTTGTGTTTGTCTGTGTATGTGTTAGTTGAGATAGATTCTGAGAGTTGTTTGATGTAATTGATAAGTGATTGAACTCTTGTTGTATGTGTATTGATGATATTAATATAAAACTTATAAAATTGCCTTCATTGAATGTGTTAAGTATCTATTTCTTTCAAAAATGCTACACATGATTTGTGGGAAGGGTTCCTTCCTTGTAAGTTCTTTGGTGGAAATTGAAAGCAGCCAGCTTTGACCTCTTAATATACTTTTGTAGTCAAGAGTTATGTATTTGTATCCTCAGTCAAGTCTACGTTATGAAACGGGTTATTCGTTGTGACATTTGACATTCAAAGTTCCAACCCTTAATTAAACCATCTTGGAGAGATAGCATGAAATTTAGCCAAGAGTAAGAAAAAGTTGTGTAGATAAACCTAGTTAAATTTGGGCATGATCCCCTCTACGAACTAACTTGCAAAGAAGCTTGAACATTTACCAAGCTCAATTGATCTCAAATAAGCCGAAGTAACATGTTCGATGATCCCCGTTATGCTTTGTGATGCACAGTAACGTCTTAGCCGGAGTTGATCAAGTTTGCCTACGGATCAAATGGATTTTGCCCCAAACTTTGTAATAGTTCAAGTTGCCAAGTTTGCATAACAGTTAATTGGCTTAGCCAAGACCTAGTTTGTCCCCGATTCAACTAGTTCGAGTCGACTTGGGGGCAAAACCAAAAGCCCAAACAAGAAAAAGGAGGAAGAGCAACAACTAATAAAAATGGGAAGTAGATGTGTGAACATGACACGACTTTAAGTTGGAACATTTACTCAGTCGGCTCAATAAACGAGCTCGAGTTCAACTGGAACATTTACTCAGTCAACTCATAAACGAGCTCGAGTTTAACTCATTTATTTATATTAACGAATTAGTATTACACAAAATCATATAGAACTACCTTTATTGAAACCTTAGCAAATCGAGCTTATTAACTAAACGAGCTTTTAACAATATTCAGCATAACTTCTCCAAGAGAAGCATATATAATATCCTTTGGTTTTCCTATAGTCAACTTCTAACTAGGTGTATGGTTAAAATTTATACACAACTTCAATTCAACACCCCTTTACCTCTCATCCTCAGGAGGAAAAAATAAAATAATAATAAATTAATAATAATAAAAAAAAAAAAACCACTTTGTTCACGGGTTTGCTCAGGTTATTCCAGTTCAAAAGCTCACCACGCAAACCCTTCTCTCCCCTGAAATTTAAGTGAGAGAAAGTACCCACCGCCCCTTTCAATTGAATCAAAAAGGGGTAATTCTTGATAATTGTCTCGAAGGCCCCATTTTGCGTTCGGACGCGCGACACTGACCCGAACAAATTCAACAACTTTGTCAAAAATCACTGGTTTTTGAACATATTTGCTCGTTTTTCGTTACATACTATTGTGGGTTTTTTGTGATCTTTTTTTGTTCTGTCGGAGATGTCTGTGGAGTCGAGCTCAGGCGATCATGGCGGCCATAATATCAGAGGGGTGCCCACTCATGGCGGAGGATATGTTCAGTACAATGTGTACGGAAATCTATTTGAAGTTTCTAGAAAGTACGTGCCGATTAGGCCCGTGGGGCGTGGGGCTTATGGCATTGTTTGGTAAAGATCGGATTTTTTTTTTTTTTCCCCATTTTGTTTTCTGTGTTTTGTTGAAATTGAGGTCAATGGTTTTTTGTTGGCTCGTTTGTTTTGAAGTTGTAAGAACTTGCATATTTCTTAGCTTAGTTGTTTTCTGACTAGAAGCTGAGTATGACTTTATCTCCTTCTGGCCCTCCATTTCTAAGTTTTGCAGAGTCTTGCTTGTTTTGATGATGAAAGATCCAAACTTGTGTTCTGTGTGATAGTATGAATATGGTTCTGGTCTGAAATTTTTTGTTGTCTTGTTATGTTAGGTATATCCTTGGTATCCTTAATGCTTTTGGCTAATTTGTTGAATAACCGAACAAATTTGTGCTTATTATGGTCTATTGGTTGGAGTTTGGAGTTAATTTTTTTGGCATGTTTATAATTCTCTGCCAAAATTTCATTATAAGATAACTCCGATCTCTATGAAGTGTCATGAAAGATATATGTATATGTGTGTGTGTGTGTGTGTGTTTTTTCTCCAATAGTATAGAATGATATGTTGGATTTTTCAATCAAAGTATGATTTGTAGCTTTTCTGTCGAAAGAAGTTCCTCCCACATGTGTGTGTGTGTGTGTGTGTAATTTAATGTTTACTAATGTAGAGCAAAATACAATTGGACATGCCCTTGGATTTTACTGTTTAATGACATGGATTGTATTGATTTTGTTCTTTATCTTCTGTTTTTATTTGCTTCAGTGCGGCTGTAAACTCGGAGACCCGTGAAGAAGTCGCCATTAAGAAGATTGGGAATGCCTTTGACAACAGAATTGATGCAAAGAGAACATTGAGGGAAATTAAACTTCTTCGCCACATGGATCATGATAATGTGTGAATAATACCTAATGAAAGCTCTTTTGCAACCATTGAATTTCACATTTCTGTTCTCTTTTATGTATTTTTTTGTTGTTGTTGTTATTATTATTATTATTATTATTATTATTATTATTATTATTATTATTATTATTATTATTATTATTATTATTATTATTATATATTTATTTATTTTTATTTCAATTTTATACTAAACAGGTGATTGCAATTAGAGACATTATTCGACCTCCTCTTAAAGAAAGCTTCAATGATGTCTACATTGTGTATGAACTTATGGACACTGATCTTCATCAGATTATTCAGTCCACACAACCATTGACTGATGACCATTGTCGGGTTTGACCTCGTTTTCCTATATCTCTATTCAGTTCATATTATATGTCATATTTTTCACATAATGTTTTCTTTCACCTCAAAGTTCTTGATTCGGTTGTTCTTTTTTCTCTTTTTCTCCTTTACACTCATTCATTTACCTCAGATCGTATATGATTGATTGGTTATAAAATAAATTTGAGTGAAAAATTGATGAACAACTAAAATGCCCGGTTGTCAATACACCTCATGAAGGATGACAAGCACAAAAAACCGATCATCAAGTGAGAAAAATGAATTTTTGTATCATGACTTCCATTTTTCTTCTTTTTTTTTTCTTCGTCTAGTATATAAATAAATGAAAATTCATTTTGTATTATTACAAATTGACTGCTTCAAGTCTAAGACTTATTGTTATGCAGTTTAACGATATTCAGCTTCTATATTTTGTGCACAGCCCCATTTGATATTTTTTTTTCCCAACTAAACATTTTTCCAGTACTTTCTCTACCAAATCCTTCGAGGGCTCAAGTACGTTCATTCGGCCAATGTTTTGCACCGTGACCTTAAACCGAGCAACTTGCTGCTCAATGCTAATTGTGATTTGAAAATCGGGGATTTTGGGCTTGCTAGGACAACATCGGAGACCGATTTTATGACAGAATATGTTGTCACTCGCTGGTACCGAGCACCTGAATTGCTCCTAAATTGTTCCGAATACACTGCTGCTATCGATATATGGTCCGTGGGTTGCATACTTGGTGAAATCATGACAAGAAAGCCTCTTTTTCCTGGTAGAGATTATGTTCATCAGTTGAGACTTATAACTGAGGTACTTTCTTTTTCTTTTTCTGACGATTAGGCTATGTAAATAGTGTTCATTAGATCCATGAGGTTTAGTTTACTTACAAAACAACTTTGTTGTTATTTAAAACTAGAAAATATTTCGCTGACATTTGCAAAAAAATTACTTTGTCAAATTGAAAAGTGTGTGTTGAGACAGTGCTTATAATCTGCTTATCTAAACATATGATTTTTCATTTTGTTACTTTTCTTTTTTTAAGTTTTCTATTGTTAACAAATGAACCTTTTTTTCCCTCCTTTTTTAATTGTACCATATTGCATATTTGTGCTCATTTATACCAAATTCCCTTGGAAGTTGACGATATATCTGTCTGGATATTGATTTCTGTATCTATACATCATCTTCATTTTGTTACTCCTTTTTTCCTTTCTTACTTTTTTCATCTTCAAAAGCTCATAGGCTCTCCAGATGATGCGAGTCTTGGGTTTCTTAGGAGTGACAATGCCCGAAGATACGTTAGGCAGTTGCCTCAGTACCCGAGACAACAATTTTCTGCTCGGTTTTCCAACACTTCTGCTGGAGCTCTGGATTTACTAGAGAAAATGCTCGTTTTTGACCCAAGCAAGCGAATTACTGGTATGGTTCATATTTTGTTTTTATTTTGAAATGATTTGGTCATAAAATTTTGCTAATTTTGATGCCAACACTATGGTTTTGTACACTGTTATGGAGGTAGAACAAACAACAAACACAATATGGAAGTTAAAATCCTTAGGGAAAGATTTACTATTCGATAAAGTACAACGTTTCAGACAATAGAGATCTTACTTCAAAATTGAAGAATCACGTTATTCTGCTATCATCTAAAAGAAAAATATTGATGAACTATATCCATTTGCAACTTAAAGTGTACATTTTTTGACAAAAATAAAATTCAGTTACGAAGAGCGATGCTTTTAAGCCATAATAATATAACGAATTAACCATTTCTTGGTTTATAATTGAATTTTCTCTTTACCGATGAATTTTGCAGTTGATGTGGCCCTTTGCCATCCTTACTTGGCACCTTTTCACAACATTAATGACGAGCCCGTTTGCCCTCGGCCTTTTGTTTTCGATTTTGAGCAGCCATCATTTACCGAGGAGAACATAAAGGAACTCATTTGGAGGGAGTCCGTAAAATTCAACCCGGACCCTTCTCATTAAGGCTTATATTGTATCGTAATGTGATGTATTTTAACAACTGTTTTTAAGAGAATCTGTAATGTGCATATGTAATAGTTAGAGTCCCCAAATGGAATTGAAGGACTAATTTTATACTGTGGAGACATGAAAATTTGTGGGATTTGAAAAGGGATTGTCTTAGGCTATTTGTTGTTTTATAGCTACTGTTTTGTGGATTTTATACTGTTGTTCTTGGCTCTTGTTATCTTTTTGCAGTGGAACAATATTGTACAATAGAAACTGAAAGTACTTCTCTTGCTCTGAAGGAAGATTATTATTATGCATTGTTCGGTTTGAGTGTGTTGCTACCTTACTTCATTAAAAGCTTATAAAAATATTACAGGGTGTGGAGAAAAACCCCGAAAAAAATATGAGCAAAAACGAGGAGGTTCGTGTCGTGATGCTTCCATGGGGTAAATTCACGAAAAATATAGATAAAAATATAATCGATAAGCTGAAAAATCACGAAATCAACATTCATCGTCATAAATTTCGATATATCCACAAGTCACACTAATCCAGTTCATATTGTTCATATCGAGCAAAAAAAACTCTTAACATGATATATAAGCATATAAAGATAAAACCCTAAATTTTAAAAACTAGAGTAACTATAGACATTAATGTGTCAAACGATACTCTCTTCTTGAGTACTTCCGAGCATTGCCCCATGCCGTTGGATGATCCGCACAGCTTCTAGAAGAATATTCTGCTCAGCATCTTTGTTCTGCACCAAATCACACACACCAAAATAAGCAGTTGTTACTTAACATTGAACATTTGCTTTTTAATATGAAGAAAAAATTTACCATTTGTTTAAGATTGCATCCGAGAGTCAGTTCTGCATACGATCGCTCGATATGGGACAAATAACAGTAAGGAGGCTCCTTATCCAAGAACACATTCACATTAGATTTCAGCATTGACTTTATATCGTCCGATATTTGGGGAATTTTATCAATGTCTTCAGTTCGTATAGGGATTTTCCTGAGCATGAAGCGCCATTTGGCCCGTGATTTGTTCACAATGACCTACAATTGCCAATGAACATATTCGAAATTTTTAAGAAGCCATTCGTAAATGGTCATGATTATGATGTAAATGTAGAGATGAAAATAAAAAAAATGGGGTGCATCTGAAATTGTTACAGCTGCAAGTAGAATTTTAAGAGAGAAAACAATTCAGAATTTCACGGGTGGTGACTGTTTCTCAATGAAAACAAAACACAGGCACCAGGATATTTTCGAGACTCAGGACTAAAAATGGTAAATAAATAAAAGATATATAAGATCTTAATACCTGGCTGGCAAACAGTGAATTCGGGACAACAACTGGAAATTTTTCGGCAGTCAGCAGAGAAGTAGTTGTAAGACCCATCTCCACCACTTGGCCTTCTACCGATCCAGCCTGCAGCAAAAAATGGTTAGAAAAACAAGATAAAAAAAAAACCTCAGCGCTATCAGTTTTTTACAATGACATTTTTCTTAAGCTATTGGACGTACACCCATAATAGTTTCAGGCATTCTGCTAAAAGCTTAAAAAACTTCAATCTCACATTTTTAGAAGCAACAAAAAAGCTTCCTTTGTGTCTTTGAAACACAGGAAATTAGATACAAATGATCAAGGACAAATCAGAAGCAAGATCATGCTAACAATTGCAAAACGATGCCTGTTTCACTATCCGATATGTGGAAAGAACATAATATATAATTTTCCTTATATTTGATGCCCTGGACGAAGCAGGCAAAATATTATATACAGGAAATCATTAAAGCTGTGTCATTAAACTAACAAAAAGTAAGATCATGAAACAGTAATTCTTAACTAGTTCTTATAACTCTAGAAGAACAAGAATGGCTAAAAAATGCCACCAGTCAATCAATTGATTTCCATACTTTAATTGTGTCACCAATCGAAAATGGCTGTGAAATCTGTACGGAAAGACCACTAAGTACATTCCCAAGTATGTCTTTAGATGCAAAAGCAGTAGCCACTCCTGCATGACAGAAACAACTATCTCAATTTCCACCTTCCTAACTCAGAAAGCAGAAGAAAAAACAGCCACAAAAAGAGATGAATCAGAAAAGGAAAGGAAAACTGGGATCAGCCACCTATGACTTTATGCATATCACTCTATTCATTGCCATTCAGAGTCATCTTTGTAGTTGCAATTTCACCAAATGTAACATACCATGCCAGTCCAACAACACTTTATTACTTTCTTTGCAGTGATTTTTCTTTTTTAAAAAAAAAAAGAAAAAATGTTCATAGTGTCAAAATGATCTCCAAGAGATAATAAAGCGTAGTGTTGAAAGGACATGGCATCTTACAAAACGCCCACTCTAGCAGTTGAATATGCCATAATAAATATTTCAAAGAAACTTCAAATAGAGAGAAGCACTTTCAATTCCTCTGGATATTACCTCCTATTCCTCCCACTGTCAGAATAGACTGGACCGCGACTCCACATGCCTCGGCAAATGCCATTGAGCCCACAACAAAAAGTCCCACAGATGAAATTTTGTCCAAAGTCAACAGCTTATCTCTCTGGACCCCTTCTAAGCTCTGAGTAGCCAAAGCCCGGGTAATAACATTTGTTTTCCATCTATGTAAAAACCAGACAAGTGAAACAACAAGGGCACCCCTCCAAGCCTGTGCAACATACTGTGAGGCAACAACAGTTGGGGCCACCATTTCACCACTGCCCAAAGAGTATCAACAGAATTAGTTACGAGTTTTAAATAACTTGAAGGATCAATTACCAAGGGGAAAAAAGAAAAGAAAACTGAAACAACTAATTTTATTCCAAAATCACAAACCCATTGACATTTATTTCTCTTTTGTCAATTTTACCCTGCAGTGAGGTTTTAAACGGAAATCACAATGGAACCCGTAGCACATTAAGAGGGTATTCGTAATTTCGTAAAAAAAAAAACTTGTTGTAGTAAGCTATGCCCCTAAATAAAACAGAATATCATCCAGATTTGAAAATCACAGAAAAAGATACGATATAAATTGAAACTAACATTTGCAAGAATGCCATAAATGTAATGAAATATCTAACGGGAGCCTCCAAGGCGCCCCAAAAGCTTTTCTCGTAAGGAACAGGTCCCCATATCGAGCTCTTTGAAAGGAGAGCGCCCGGGCCCTCCACAGTGTATTTATGCAAACGCTTGAAAAGCCTCGGCAACAAAGACCAAGCCAATAAAGTCCCAGCCAAGGTACCACCCACTGGGACAATTACGTCCCTAAGATAAGGATGAGCATCAAATAGCTGCTGAACATGAGGAACCACCTCATCAGACACCTCTTTCGCCTTTTCCCCTGTAAATTTTGCTGCCTCAGCTGTTGATTCCCACATTTCCTTAACTTTAGCAGTCCAATCTTCCCCACCGGCACCACCATTACTTGCACTGCCAATGCTACCTTTAGCAGCTTCACTAGCCGATGATGAAAATGAACGATGACTGATCAAAGGGCTGACCCCAGCGAAAGAAAGACTTCCTCGAAAGACCGAACTTCCCACCAGCCTACTTGAGAAACTTGGATAAAACCGACTAGCTTTCGAATACTGAGTACTAGCGCTAGGAGCCAATCCCAACATTAATAAATCATTAGAGTCACTTTTCTTCTCAGTATTCGACTCTTTGAGCTGATAACATTTGCTTGTATATGCAGCAGATGGTCTCAGATCATACAGTGAGACAGATTTCACAGAAGAACAGAAGAATTTCAGTCCTGAAATTCTCATTGCGGATTTTCTACAAACACCTTGCATTCCTAGCAGATGGGAGAATGAGAGAGCTATCGCAACCTGAGCCAAATCAAACCACCTGGGCTGTTCGTGTTCCCCTCAATACAATCTACAAACTGTAGAGATAAAGAACAAATAGACAATTAACACCAAGAGAACAATTTTCTCTATCAAACAAAGTTAACCGAACATTGTAAAGAACGCTATTTTGTTCAACAGTTATGCAGAGAAAAAAACGAACCCGTTATGTGTACGAGTTTTGGGTCTCTAACATATGCATAGTCTCAAAGCAGCAAGTGAAGGATTGAGAGATAAAGCTATGGAGTCAGGTGCTTTTGCTTTGTGGGCAAGACAAAGAAGCGAAAACGAAGGGGACGAAATGTGGAAGAAAAATTGACGTGCTTTATATATAGATTTTTTTTTTTTATTTTTTTTATTATATTCACATTTATATCTTGCTGTTAAAGAAGAATTATATTACTAGGTTTTTTTATATATGTTTTAATATTGTAATTGAATAAATGAATAAATAATCATTAGTATATATAGAGATAAAATAATGTTTTATCTCTATATATACTAATATTAGGAAAAAAAAATACCTCCATTGAAAACTTTTTAAATGTATCAATTAGTTGTTTGCATATACAAGTTTTTTTTCAAATCAGATATGTTCAAGAAATTATTTTTTGGGATAATTTTAGGAAAATGCTACAATCTCGTTACGGAACCCTTCTGTCGGGATTTGTAATCGTTAGATCATCATGTAACGCTGGTGGATAGTTGTTCTAACGGTTACAAACCCCAAAAAATGGTTTCGTAACGGGACCGTAGCATCTCTCATAATTTTATTAAAATCTGCAATAATTTAATTGATATTTCTTATAATAAACTACAAATTGATTTTCTATGATTTATGTTGATCATAGTTTGGTCAATACAAACATAAAAATAGATTTTAAGTTCTAACCATATTATTATTATTATTATTATTATTATTATTATTATTATTATTATTCACAAAATAACTTTTTATCCTAAAATTTATAAAAAATCGTAACAGGTTAAATAATTTCTTTCAATCCAATGATTATGCGAAATCAAATGGTGAATTAATTTTAGTCAATATAATGTTGTAAGAAAAACAAATAACTGTCTATTTGTTAAACAATTTTCTCTATGAAATTTTCTCTATCAAATTTTTATCCTTTACTACATAAATATATAGTATAAGCATATTCAATTTATACTTACATCACTAATTAGTACACTGTTTTGTCTATTAATCATTTTCAAGTACATTACATTTTTGTAAGTAGTTTTTCACTCTTAATCTATATTACTAGTACAATACCCGTGTATTACACGGGTGCTTGTTAAAAAATTATTCTTCAAAATTTTAAAATTAATGAGAAAATTATATTAAATTTAGTTTATTTTTTTACAAAAAAAAAATATATTACTATATATTTTAGAATGATATGTGTTACTTATGACTTACATGTGTTATATTATATTAGTTTTTATAACTTATATAATATAACTACTTGAAATATAAATATATTAGTTAATAAATAATTTTATTTTTCTAATTAATATTAAAAATAATTTTATTATTGTTATAAAGATAAATATAAATTATTCTTTTTATACATACAATATGGATGTTAAATCGAAGCTTATCAAAAGAAGATTAATTTGATATATTACATATGTAAAACTGATAAAAAATACAAAAGTTATTAACTTTTAAAATATATATACAATTTAATATTTATAATAAGGAATGATATTAAAATACAATTAATACATGTAACATGACCATAAATATTCAACATATTTATGGTAATCCGAACCTAATTATTTTTGGTTTGGAATTAAATTAAAATTTACCCAAACCTAATAACGAAGCATGTAATTTTGCCACATAGGATTCCAAAGCACCAGAAGCAGCCACGTAGGCTCAGCGCATTCTGTATTAATATATAGGGGGGATTTGGTGTTTTTTCATTGTAATATAGAATTTAATTAAATTGAATGTATGATACATGTAACATCTAAAAATAAAAAATTTTGAAATAGCAAAACATGTAAGATATGCAATTTCGTGGGATTTGACAAGTAATCACAAGAATTACTTAACACTGAATTAATTGATAATGAGTCCTCCTAAAGAAGAAAAAAGTCAATTGCTAATGAATCTTGTGATATATCAAGCAAAATTTTAAAATACCAAAATCCTTAAGTTGTATAATTTGTAAAGCATTTTTATTATTTATTCTATCTATTTAATATATAAAGAATTTGTATGCGTTATATGTGAGTGTTAAAAAAAAATATATATCCTCTCTAACGGTGTTATTCAAGTGGAGTAAAGGAAAATATCTCATGTTCAAACTTATGTTCGATTGATAAATGAATCAGCTCAGCTTGACTCATTTAAAAAACAAGTGAGACCCAACTCAGCTAATACACAAATTCGATTTAAGTGTTTGATATTAGTTCGTTTAATTATAAGAACGAGCTTAACTCGAGTATTTACGAGTCAAACTGAGTTATGTTTGCAGACATTTTTTTTTTCTAGATCCGCCCATGTTTGTGTGAAAATTGAACTTAATTAAACCCTTTTACCTATAATTAAATGCAAGCAGCCGACCAAAACCCAAATTAATTAGCTGCTTTTTTATTGAATTAATTTTCTCTTCAATTTGTTTTTTTTTTTAAAAAAAAAAAATCTCCCTAAAACATGAGTAATTACTCTACTCGGATCATTCTTGTCGTCTCCTTGAGATTAATACACACACAATTACTATTTCATACACAATCAACAAAACAAGAATTGCAACCAAATGATCATAGCAATTAATATTAAAACCCTAAATAGCTCAACTAAAATAAAAAGATAGATAAAGACAATTAAACAAATAAAACAAGTATATAGTAGGGGGTTTAAAAATATAACTTACTATTAAAGAATGACCAAATCGTCATCGTGAAAGTAGGTTCTTTCTTATTGATTTTTTTTTTTT